TTATCAGATGGTTATACAATTTTTAAAAGAGATGGATACACCTTTTGTGCACATGTGCAGGAAAGATTCCTCTTGCCCATCCTACAAAAGCTTTCCATCCTGCTAATATGCTGTTGAACACTGGCATCCAATACTTCAGTTTGATAACATGAAACAGAAATACCACTACAAAATTTAGAGACTGGGTAGAAAGCAGCATTTCATTCCAGTAAGTGAAATTATCATTTTACCTTCATCTGTTATCAAAGTTAACATTTGCGATTGTGTCACTAAACAAAGATGGCTAAATTGAGCAGCACAGGTAGGAAATACAAGTATTTGTTATTTAGACAGATGATCATTCAAACAGGATTTACCTTATCAGTCATTTTTTCCTATAATGCCTTCTAAACTGGAGAACATCTCACAAAAGCAGAAAAAGTAGAACCACATAAGTAGGGCTGCTTTTACTTTGCTATATTTTGCTTATAAATATCATATTAAATTCACATTAAATTCCCTGTTACAAAAAAATTGCTGTTAACTTACATCACAGTTGGAAAGTATAAACAAGATTCAAAGCAAAAGTGTTTTGTAGGAATTTTTCTATTACTCTCTTTAATTGAAAAATTTTAACCACCGCAGCACAACACAATATATTATAGAACTCCTATTAAGCATCAACAAAATTGTTTTGCTACAGTAATGCAATAGCATATAGGATTCAAGAGAAGTAATCTAATTTTTATCTAATTCTTGTAGTTTGATTTTATCAGACCTCAGTTATAGCTGTGGAAATCCAAGTCATAGCATTAAAGCATTCTACATCACAAGCCAGCATAAACTGAAGCACTTCAGATTCTTCCTTGCTATTTTTCAGATGAGAGCGAAAAAAATAATGTTAATGTATCCTGAACAAACCACTACTTTGTGTGTGCGCACACGAGTGTGCTCACCCACAGCCTTCAGGATTTTTGAATATACAGGACAGTTACTTTGCTGTTGTATGTATAAGGTAATAGAAAGAGCATGGTTCTTCCTGTCCTGTGGCATTCTGTGCTCTCTTGTTATGGACATTCAATTTTTATTTGGTTGGTTTTTGTTGTTTTTTTTTAATCCTAGGAATACCGCTGCTGATTCAGTTAGCCAGTCTTTAAAGGGGCTTCACTCTTCCTACATAATTCACTCTTCCTCACACAGACACAGTAAGTGAAATGGTCATGAATGCTGACATGCTTTTTCACCGGAAATGATGTATCTAACATCAGGAGAAAAATAACATGCAGAGGTTTTACTGGAGTGAGAAACTGGCGACTGAGAACTGGTTATGTGGGCAACAAACAATCGTGTTTTGGTGTCCACCTACCCGATTCAGTTCATGGCAAGCTCCTGGTTTCCCAGAACATTGCACACCAATGTATTCTCTCACATACCTGAAAGGTTCATAACAACACCTGTCATGGAACAGAAAAATGTGGTTTTTCAGGAATTGTAAGGGAACAGGAAATGTCCTTCTAGGCCAGTTGTTTAGCCAATCCAGTTTGCAAGGGCCATAAGGTCTTGAGATGGGAGGCATGGAACTGTAATCATGACAATGACTACACTTTTTACACTTACATAACAGGTATTTTATAGCACCTTACAAAGGTCAGAAATCATTCAGTGCCTTTCAGAACTTCCAAAGTAAAGATCTTTTTGCTGAAAGGTAGAAGGGGAAACAAGCCAACTTTTTGCATGAATATTTTAAAATGAAATTGCAGCTCTTTAATCAGCAAATTTCAAGGATCTTGAACAAGAGGATATTGGATCCATTTTACAGAAATAAGGGAGTTTATTCATGGTGTCATAACAGGTCATATCAGATCCAGGCAAAGAACGCACATTTGCCTCTACAGTATTGCATAGCATCACCTATTCAATTACAAAGCATTCCTATATGTCATAATTGTTCTGAACCTTCATAGAAGACCATAAAAGCATTCTTACCATAGAACACAGTATTTTGATACTAAGCATCAGTAATTAGCTGCAATGGGTTCATCCTGGCTGGATGCCAGGCACCCATCAAAGCTGCTCTATCACTCCCCTCCACAAGTGGACAGGGGAGAGAGAATATAAGAAAAGTTCATGAGTTGAGATAAGGACAAGGAGAGATCACTCACCGAATACTGTCACAGGCAAAACACACTCAACTCGGGGATATTAATTGAATTTATTACTGACAAAAACAGAGCAGGATAATGAAAAGTAAAATAAAATCTTAAAAACACCTTCCCCACATCCTTCTCTCTTTTCTGGGTTCTATCTCCTCCTGCACAGCAGCGCAGGGAGATTGGGAATGGGGGTTACTGTCAGTTCATCACTCGTTCTTGCCACTGCTCGGGGGGAAGAGTCCTTCCTCTGCTCCACCATGGGGTCCCTCCCACAAGAAACAGTTCTCCATGGACTGCTCCAATGTGGGTCACTTTTCCACGGGGTGCAGACTTTCAGGCACAGCCTGCTCCAACATGGGACCCCACAGGGTTACAAGTCCTAGTAGGTAACCTGCTCTAGTGTGGATTCCTCTCTCCACAGGTCTGCAGGTCCCTACCAGGCGCCTGCCCCAGCATGGGTTTCCCATGGGCTCACAGCCCTATCTCGAGCATCCACCTGCTCTGGGTCGGTCTCCTTCACAGCCTGCAGGTGGATATCTGCTCTCCCACTGACTTCCATGGGCTGCAGGGGCGCAGCTGCCTCACCACGGTCTTCACCATGGGCTGCAGGGGAACCTCTGCTCCAGTGCCTGGAACACCTCCTCCCCCTCCTTCTCCGCTGACCTTGGTGTTTGCATAGTTGTTCCTCTCACATATTCTCACTTTGCTCTTCTCTGAGTGCAATTACATCTGCCCCAAACTTTTCCTTCTTAAATATGTTATCCCAGAGGTGCTACCATGGTCACTGGTAGGCTCAGCCTTGACCAGTAGAGGATCCACCATGGAGCCAGCTGGCATTGGGTCTGCTGGACATGGGGGAAGCTTCTGGCAGCTTCTCACAGAAGCCACTCCATAGCCTCCTGCTTCCAAAACCTGTCCACACATTAACATTTGGTTATCAGCTGCATGTAATTGCAAAGGCAGTACCAATCTTGCATTTTGCAAATCTATCATTAGTTTCATTTTTTCTTTACAACACCAGAAGGAGCCTTGATGTTCTGAAATATGTCTGACAGCACCCACCACAACCCACTGCCTTTAGAGAAAGAATTGTCAATTAGATATACATTCCAATTGTCACAGCTAAGCAATTTCTTAGACTAAAGGGATTCTGAGTGATTTCATGGTACAAGAAAAGACAGACAATGTAACACTTAAGAAAACTTATGTTATCAATTGAAGTGTCACATAGTAATTGAAAAGATTTCATTGTCCACTTGAAAAAATAAGAATAGTCATGCAAAGGCTTCAGTGAGACAAAGATATGTGTGCCTCAGCATGTAAAAGACTGGGTTTGTAATGACAAAATCTTTGGGTCCATATAGTCAAGTTTTTTTGCAAGTAGAACCCTAGAAACAGCAGTGCTCAATTTAAATTGGATTTTGAGAGGGCTCTTCTTTCTGTGGCAGACAGTCAGAAATCCTGCTGACTGTCCAATTTACAAGGAACAGATGATGTCATTTTGATAAAGCTCTCCTCTAGGTTCACATGCCCAAGTGTTCAGACAAATTCAGACTTTCTGCTTTCCATGAAACATCCAAAAAGGTCAGGATCCTAAAGACTGAAGGGAAATAAAAAGACAAGAAATGAAAGTACAGTATTTATCAAGTTTGCATTTTAACATCAAGCTATGTGACTGTCTGTGTGTATAATCTGTTCTGTTCAGGAAAATACAGCATATAATGAAGTTTATTGATTCCTATAGGAATAAAATAATAGGATTGAAAATCACATCAACAGACAAAATGTTGCAAGTAAAAGAACAGTATTTATTTATCTATTCATTTATTTATTTATTTTAAAACATGATTATGTTGCGAGAACTTTATTTTAAAAGACATATCATAATATATTCAGTCAAAATTAGGCTGTTATATTTGAACTCTAATTTTTCATACACATAGTGAAAGAAATTTGTATTTAACAAATAGCTATTATTAATAGACCCTATGAAAAACATGTTCAAAAATAACTGTCAAAATCTCTCTTTAAATATACAGAACATCCTTGCTGTGCTGCAGGTATCTTTCTTAAAAGCCAAAAATATCTAAGTCAATAGTTGAGTCCCTATCAAACCCTACTGAAAACAGTAGTGACATATATATGTAAAAGCACTGTACAAAGTAAGCACAGCCTTTGTTCGTCTCAGTACTGAATATATCTGTATTTGTTTTAAAAATGTTTTATAAAAACTGTTATTATTGAACTTAGGTGCAGAAAAAAATTAGCCACTGACATTATCTCTGTTTCCTAAAATATCTCCTCTTCAGAATGTGAATCTCTTCTTATAATTCAAAGGGAATTTTACCACTTATTTCAATGTGAGCAGGTGTGATGGTCTAAAAAACAAGCTGAGAATTCAACTCCAAATAAGCTGCTCCTCTTGCCCCCACTGCCCTCAGGTGAGAGAGGGACAAAGGCAGAGACTACAGGCTGAGGTAACAATTTACTGAAAACAAACAGCAGTGCAATAAGAAACGTGCAGTAACAGAAAAATATTAATGAGAAAAGTACAGAAAAGGTGCTTTACACATGAGAGGTGTTCACTACCTTGACTTAGTTCCACGAGGTTGCCAAGACAAAGGCCAGGTGGTGAACGCTCTCCATAGGTAGCACCACGTGGTCTCCTGGGAGAAAGACAAGGTGGTGGATACTCTCCACAGCCAGCATTCCCCATCCCTGAGCCCAAGAAAACAAAAAACTATGACAAAAGCCAGACTGTCTCTGCTGTGCCACACTGGCCGCTTCCAGACTGCTCTGCTCTGCGGGTTCAATTCTGCGTGGTGCCACCTCTTTGGAATTGCATCTCAGCTGCAAGCGCAGCTTTACTGGAGCCACATCTTGGCTGTGTTCACTGCTTTTCAGAGTCCACAGTGCTGGCCCCAGCAGCTTCCCCAGGGAAGAAACATAATGAAAACAGCGTACTTCCCATGTGCATGCCTTTTGTTCTTCCCCCTGAAGCCACGCCCCCCACAGATGAAGTGGGTGGTACAGAACAGCAATTTAGCCACACCCACACAGCTCTAGGCTCCATCCCCCTGCAAAAAACCTAGGACAGCAGGACTGAAACTTTTCTTCAGTACATCCTTTCGTAATCTCTCTTGGTTTTCCCCCTAGTTCTATAATGCAAAACATTACAAAATCTTTAATACATTAACTGAAGAAATCAGAACTTAAGTACTTCAGTTTATGAGGACGGTGTATAGATTAGTTCAATGGAAAACAGAGTGTTCAATTAAACAAAAACCAATTGCAAATAATGCTGCATGCTTTTTAATCAACATCCCTCTCTCTTCATCTGCTGCCTTTATAGCCCCTTCTGGCATTTCTTCTGGAATGAGCTTTTTAAGAATGTGCGGTATCCTGGATCATCCACATATTCATTCTGAAAGCGAGAACTCAATACTCTCTGCCTCTTCTTCTCTCCCAAGATAATATCTGATCCATAAAATGTGTCTTCAAATCTCATGTCAGAGGCTGTAGACTAAAACCAGACATTAATTACACATACATACAAATACAATTTTAACTTTTCCGCATTTTGCATGTACCATTCATTATTTAATTCTCTAGGTCTATATGTTCCTTAGAAACATGTCACTAACACCAGTTGGTAGTTTTGGCTTTTATCCAGAAACCACACAACCCTTCTAATTCTAGGGGAAAAAAAAACCAGCAACACAGAACCGATGCAACTGTTGGGCAGGTGTAATCCTAGCAGTATCAAGTATTATTCACCACTTTGTGTGATGCAGAAATGTTTTAAATGCAAGGTACTATGGCATGGACACCTGAAAAGAGACCTGCACACTGCCTAACTTGCAGAGAATCAGTTACCGTTTGGTTATTTGTCAGCAAACTTAAAACAGTTGGGAATCCATGTTAACACAGCAGTGGGGCAACAAACAGCAAGCCACTTGGCAAAAACTAAAGGCAGAATATTTTGGACCAACTTTCACTGCTGGAGTAATGGAAAAATTCCAAAGATTAAGAAAAGCATCATTTAGAAGGAACTGGCATAATTTCTTTCAATAGACAGAAACAGTATCATAAGTTGTGTTTAACTTCCACTACGTTCAGCATGAGGAGGGGAAGGAGGTGTTGGGCATACTTGTAGGACTAACCTACATATTTCTAGAATTGGAGGTACTAGTAGAAAATTGTGCAAAGCAGTAGAAAATCACTAGCAGAAAAACAGAAAATGCACTAGCAGAGAATCATGCAAAGAAAATTACGCACTGGCTGTAGTGTGTTTTATTCAGTTGACCAAATTTAATGTTTTTAAGCTATAGCTGACTCCCCAATGAAGTTAATGGTGTCAAATAAAAAAGAAAGAAAGAAATATCGAGTTGTAAAAATACATTTAAAAACCAATAGCTTAAACCCAATTATTATTACCCTGAATGAAATGCAACAATTTGCATTCTACAGAGCATGCAGTTAATTAGAGATGCTTCTTCCATGTAGTCTCTAAAACAAAAAAATGGCAATGGTATGCTTTCCGAGTATAATGAAAAAAGCCCATTAAATATAACCAGATGGTTAATTTAACATTTTCCAAGACATCTATCTTAACCCTAGAACACTGAAAGATTTCTGCACTTATCCCAAATTCATCAACAAAAAGGTTTCTTAATCAAGAATATCTGACTACTGCATTTTGCACTAGAAAGCACTGCCCTAAGACAGGTAAAAGCAGTCACCTCCTCTAATAAGTGTATGGAAGAACTTTCCCTTTTCAACCTTTATGTGTCATGCTCTTCATGAACCTCAACACTTTCCCACATGACATACATACATAAAAATGGTGGATGTTGTTTGAAACTGCAGGAAACTTAAAAAAGTATCAAAGATTTGGTTTTAAACCAAAGACTAGTAAAATGTCTGCCCGTGAGTCCTGCCAGTGAGCCCTGTCAGTGACAATAATGAGTTCTGATTGGTCACATTGTTTCTTACATGAAGTTAAGTGCATTTTCATTAAATTCAAGGCTTTTAAAATCACAAAGGTCTGAGAAGCTGGAAAGTTTTTTTAAAAATTATACATGTTATAAGCATACTGAAAGAACAGAATGTCTGTCAATTCAAGTGTTTACTACCTTGATCATTCATGATCTGACAGATGATCAAACATGATGTCCCTCTTAGGAGAAAAGAATTATGTTTGACAACCGCATTTGCCTGTACTGGAAGAACAACTAACCATTCTCACTAGCAAATGGACACGTCTCCTAATTGTGCTGATTCAGCCACTCTTATTAGTATAGGCTCACAAACAAATCCAAAATAAAGCCAAGGATAGTGTTATTGGCATTTTAAGCATATATATATTATAACATTATTATCAGCAAATACTCACAAGACGTGCTTTTACTCTCTTAGGAAGCTCTTCATCTAGTGTATATATTTCTTCTCTCTTCATTACTATTTGAGAACCATCTTCAAACTCAACCTAATTGAAAAAATAGGTATTTAAAAATAAAATCATAACTTAAATCTCGGTGGAATTTTCTGGAAATGTCTCCACATAAAAATACATATCTAAACAGAAAAGATATATATAAAAATATTTTACTATCTATTTTAGGACAGCAAAATTAGGTCAAAACATAAAAAATGTTATTTCTTGGGAAATGCAACACATTCTTAAATTGAAATTAATATCTAAGCAAAGAGTCTTCAAAATCAGCACTGACACAAATACAATAAAGTAAAATTTGTTAAGGTTAGGAATGCTGAGCAGTAACAAGACAGGCAGGAGTGACATATTAAAATGTCTTCATGTTCTTTTTATTTGTCTCTAATTTTTTACTTGCTTCTAATAAATAAAAAATTAATTTTAACATCCTGTGATTCAAGGTTGAGGAAGACCATGTCAAAAGAAAGCATGAGTGACAACTAAGGAAATACCAGTTAACAGAATTTTATTGAATCTGATGGAATTTCTTCTAAATGCTCTGTTCAGAAGATGAAAAGCTTTATCATGCTTAGGTTTAGATTTAATCCAATATGAACCCCGTTAGCAGAAAATGAGAAAGGAAATGTAACTAGGTGTGGGGAATGTTAAAATGCTGAGGCTTTGAAGCATTTAAGCTTTTTCAGTAGCTGCTGATTTTTTTTTCTATTTTAATACTTAACAATTGTGAATTTCAGCTATTATCTGTGACTGCAGTTTTAGCTCCCACAGAAACTGTACTTTAAAGTTTGGTATAAAATTAGAAGAAGTCCTATTCCACATCTTCCTTGACTTTACGAGACCATGTGAATGTCAACAGAACACTTGACTATAAAAATAAGTCCAAATACAAACATAAGAGAACAATGACTTATCAAAAGTATTATTACAGATAAAACTGAAAAATCATGCATTTGATCTTGTAAATGGACTGGGTGTGTAGTTTAAAATTAAAAGCTTGCCATGACTGGATATGTCAGATTAATCGTGAACAGCTGAAAAATCAGATATAATATATCCATTCTCAAAAGCCAGGATACACACTATAATCTATTAGCTTCTTTAAAAGCAATTTCTTTCACTGCAACTAACAGGGATGCACAAATCTGGTATGCATTTAAAATGCACAGAGTACACGGATGGATAACATAGTCACAGAAGTCATCCTTGCTCCTCTCTGTTCCTGTTACTAACCTCACAGGCCTAGTCTGTCAGCAGTATGTTATAGGAAATTAACAGTCAATTTGCCTTAAGCTTGTTTAATAAAATGATGGCAGATTAGGTATTTTTCACCAGGATGCAGGAACAGTCTTTCTGCTATTCCTGCTCCTTTCCTGCACAATACATTTGGTAGTACATTTTCACATAATACCGTTGGTAATAATGATTTTTGCATCACTGGTGGAAGAACTGGGTAGGAAATGAACTCTGCCACTCCATGTGATCATAAAATCCACTCCTGAATGGTCAATGCATTTGTTTTTACTTGTAGTATGCAGTAGGATGAAACTGCTTCATACCAGAGAATCTGTCATGTTTCCACTATGAAATATATTGCACATTTACAATGAAGAGTAACTGGAAGTTCTTCAGCTTTAATTCAGCATATCACACTGGATATAAGTTGCCTACCCTTGACATCAAACACAACAAGAGCTTCTCTAAGACTTTCAGTAGTATCATGATTCATGCAAACTATAAACCCACCATCTCTAATAGCTCCAATTTAATTCAGTTGCAGATCCTACATTTCAAATCATCAATTTTATCAAGCAAGTTATTTTATTTAGACTTCTGCTGCTATACCGTGCCTGTGTAGTATGTTATCCTCTCTGTGAGATTTCATTTTATTAGAACATCATAGATTAAAAGGAGAGTTGAAACTGTTAGAAAGCAATTAATAGAGTGAATGGATAATTTAATAATCTCAAATGAAACTCAAAACTAATTGTGAACCTCTATATCAGAAATGATCGCAAAATTAATTCAGAACACATTAACAATTTCAGTTGAACACCTGCTTAGGGATTGTGTAGATACCAGCTGGCAAATGTCAACCTGAAAGACACAAATTGTGGTGCATTGTGTCATAACTCCTGCATGTACAAGTATCGGCACATTTAGTACAAATGTTTCACAAACATGAAGAAAATTCACAGATTTATCCAGGTTTGCCTTATTAGATCTAAGAGATGACTCAAAAGGCTCAGAAAGAGTCTGCAACAGAGATCATACCAGAAGAAACTGGAGTATGCATGGGTCCTGGGAGCTTTCAGACAGACAGCAAAAAGACAATAGGAAGAACAACTAATATGTCTCGAAGTTAACCTTGCACCCGCCACATCATAGACTTTCTGTAACTTGTGGCCATGTGGCAGCCTCCTCTCCATCCTGCAGACTGAAATGCTTGACTGTCTCCACAGTCCTACGTGTTGCAACCTGGACTGCCTCTAACCTTTAAACTTTGTCATTTCCCCCCCCATGATAAGGGTTGTTACAAGGCAATTTACAGTAATCTCCCACACGTCTGTTATACTGAGGAACTCTAAACCTTGCTGAACCTCCAAATGCTTATCCATTTTCTTTAAACAAAACTGATTTCATCATGTTGTTCAAGAGGTCTAAAATAAGACAACGTTGTTTGATTATGTCATATTCCTTCAAATATGAAAGATAACATTCATCTAATCTACCTCACAGTATTCCTCAGAAGACCGACTGTTCATAAGACTAATTATTTGAAGATTAATGTTACTATAGAACAATAATATTCATACTTTATAAAGAACTTTCCACCTTCACAACATAACACAGCTGCTAAATACAAGGGAAGAGCTAAGATTCAGATACTAGCTCAAGGGATTAGGCATTTGAGGACTCAAGTTCAATTGCAAGTCACTGGGAAAGTGAGAAGGTCAATGTAGCAAGTCATTTAGCTTCCCTGTGCTTTAATTTATCTACAGATATAATAGTAAATTTGCCATTTTGGTACAGTACTGTGAGGCCCTTTGATGAAAGGAGATACGTAAGTGAAAATGATTACATATATATATATAAATGAAATGTATCTAGACTCTCATTCTTTCAGAAGTGCTATTATTATTGCGATTGTTTCATAGCAGTTTCTACCATTCACCTGGGTACTCAAAGCTGCTGACTGATTTTTCTCAAAGGCAAGCACATAAAAAAACAATTATTGTGACTCTGAAATCACAAGTCAGCTTTTTAGCCTTGCCTTCACTGTTCAGTTCCCTTTTGCCTTTGCTGAGGATACAACACTCCTTAGATTAATTAATTCATAAGTGCCTCAGAAAAAAGAAAGTGGGCCTATTTATGCTCTTCTTTTTACTGTCCTCCCTTCCAACCTCTTATGAAATGGTTCATTGTAGGCACATACCAATATTTAATTTTATATCATTAATCATAAAATTACCTGACATAAAATAAAAGTAAATAACCTGCAGAAAATAACAAACATTATGTTTCAATCTTAATGTTCCACCTGTTCACCTGATTTCTTATCAAACAAGTAATTTGCTTGATTTTGTAAGAACAAGCGAAACCTCAACTCCCAAAGAGCGCACAGCATTTCCTACTGGGTTACACAGTTTTATATATTAATTTAAATGCATTAAGAGTTACAATTAGAGTTCAAACTTCAGCCCTCTGCATCTTTGAAGGTGTGGCTGGCCGCTACAATGTGAGAGCCAAATGAGCAATTTACAATAAAGACATCTGAAAAGCAAGCATATGGCAATAAATATAGATACTCACCTGATACATATAAGTTGTGTTTGTTCCCAGATACTTCACATCATACACTTTTCCGTCAGGCCATTTCACTTGGACAACCTCTCCCTCTGCAGGTGGACCCAGCCTTAGGCAATCTCTGCTCTATTTACAAAGAAGGATGGATTCTCCAATCAGTGAGTGAGCCACGGCACTGAAATTAGCAGTAAACTGCTTTTTACAACTTCGTAATTGGAGGAGATTTATTACCATGTGTGTTTCAAGTTTTATAATCCTACTAATAGGCTAATGCTAATGTTAGCCTTCATGAAAATGAAATACTGACCAAAGAAACGCTCTCCTTTAAGCTTGATGCTGCATTGGCAAGGCAACAGATGCATAAATCAGATAGCTACCAGCAACTGTGATACACTTCCACCAAAATTAATTTCTAACGCACATTGAAATCAAGAATCACTAAAGGGCAATTGCATATGTGCAATGCTTTCTCTTTTACATATTCAAGTAACACGTTTTGTTAACCACAGCACATTTTTGTTAGATGTTAACTCTGCTGACCAAAACATACATGGATCAAACCATAAATAGTAAGAACATCAATGAGTTCTTTGTTTAGCTGAAGGAGAAACACTGAAAGACTCCAAACACTTACAAAGAAAAATTTCGTGGAAAATTTTTTTCCCATAAGATATGAAGCATCTTTTTCTGGTCTTTTGGCCAAATTTTGTGCCTGACTTGTTCAGCATGTCAGAGCACCAGTAACTGCATCATTAATGGTTTCTTTTGCCCCATATGGCTCAGCATGACCTAAGTGACTCATTTTCAGAGCACACTGACCAGACATCCATAGGAGCAACTGTCCACTTGAGGAAACAAAGGACCAGAAAAGGATTGGGTCATATCTGGACTCACCAATTCTTTGGAAGCTATCTCTGTCAAACACTCACCCCAACAAAGGTATCTCTACTTCATAGCAACTACATCATAAGACTAGTCATGTAAATCAGCACTAATTTAGTGATATTCTCCTAGGTGTGACCTATCCTCCTCAGTGACCATATTATCTGAGCTAACTGAAAAGAGGTCTAGATAGGAAGAAAAAAGATAAAGACAAGGACTCAAGTATAAGGACTTAGTGAAATAATCATCATGATGAAGAACTTAAAACATGGGAGCAAAAGTGCACCACAGTGATTCTTACCAGGACATTACCTTGTTATAATATCATTCTAGCCAAATCCAGCCTTTACAAATGGATGTTAACCACATGTATCTTAATCCATGAACTTGATTCAACACAGGATAAAAGAAACTAAAATCTGGACTTCACAGAAACACACTTTCCTCTATGTCAGTACAGTCTCTGTCTCTCCTCAGGTGCCATGCAAAGGGGACAGCTTTAAAGTATGCCCTCTGTGTTTGTCTGACAGAGGTTGCTGTGACAAACACAGAGAGATATATTTTTTCAACTTCAGCATATATTTGGAGTAGTAGATGGCATTACTGTATTACCTTTCTCAATATTTCTAGGAGAGGCAGGGGGAGAGGGAAAGGATGGCTGCTGCAGTGGAATAATTATGACTTCACAGGGGACAGGGATTGCTAAATACTATCATAGCTCTGACAATAAATTAAATGAGACTGTATTTTTAATGCTCTCTTCTCAGTGATGACTGTCAAAATGGTTACTGTCATTATGATACTTCTTCCACTATCTATTTCTTGCAAAAGTGCAAAAACGGGTCTTGGCTAAGTGTCTTGAAACAAACTTTTAAAATGCATTATGGAATAGAGAAAATTTCCTGAAAACAAACAATCTATCAACAATGTCAAGCCTAACATTAATTTTCCAAGAACAAAAGCCCAGCGTGAATTGCTCCCTTTGCACCTTGCACAAGAAAAAAATCTCACAGCCTCTCTAGAATAGCTAATGGAATTGCTCATATGGAAAATTAGAGTTCTCATGCAAATAACTAGACAAATAACAATCCCATTCTTCATGTATCATCGCAATGTCTTAGTCTAAGAAACAATGTTTGGGAAACTCATACTAGTTTTTGTTGATTTCTACCAGAGCTCCTACATTTTATTTTCACAGGAGCATAATCATTTCAGATTCTCTTTTTACTGCACAAATAATTCTTACAATTTTCTTCTTGGGAATGATTAGACACATTTCTTAGACTGAGGAAATTGCAAAAATGCAACCTCACTTTTCTCAATCATATAATGAAAAGTCAGACAGCAGAATATGGCAATCCTTCAAATATTCCCATACACCAGCTGCAAATAACATATAGTGTAAGTTCAATCTACATTTAGCTTATAAACCTGTTCAATTACATACTGTATTTTCTTCTTCACAGAAACGGACAAAATCATACCCATCTGTACTGAAAATCCTATTAAGTGCCCAGTTTCACATTCCCACTGTCACACAGCTCAGAGCCCAGCTCCAACCATGACTAGCTACCTTTAATGATGAACACTTCAAGGCCTCCCTGGGCAATTAGTCCAGCATTCATCAACCCTCACTGTGAAAAAGTCTTTTCTTAAGTGAAGAAAAATTCTGTGTTGAGGAATTTCCTGTATTTCAGTTGGTACCTGTTGTCTTTCATCCTGTCACTCTGCATCACCCAGAAGTGTGTGGCTTCATTCTCTTTACTTCCCCCATCCCATATTTATATACTTGGATAAGATTCTTCTGAGTCCACTGTTCTCTAGGCTGAACAGCCGCAGCTCTGTCAGCCCCCTCATGAGAAATGCTCCAGTTCCTCCATCACTTTCATATCCTTTTACTGTATTTGTTCCTCTTCGTCCACATCCTACTTGTACAGGTGAGCCCATAACTTGACATGTTATTGCAGATACAGTCCCATCAATATTACATTTATGGCCATTCAAAAAGACACTCTATGAGCAAAAACCTGTAAATAATAATACTTCTGAAAAGTTTTCTTGTTTAATAAAGGTGGTACTTTCTGGGTTTAGAAACATTTATTTGGGGATTCATTTTATGCACTTAACTAATATCGTGAGCAATCTATTAGCAATAGATGTTGGAAAAATATGCTGAAATACTGGGTTTGTCTTCTATGCTGTCACTTAGGAATTCACATGTACAGCACTCCAGATAAAGAAGACATTTCTTCTATTTTTCTTCTGATATTCCCTTGTTTTTACCAGAGAGGTTGATATGGTTCATTTAGGCTGCACAGAGAATTTGCAAATAACAAGTCCAGTTGCAGCGGCAGGATGGTGATGGTTGACACAGATTAGGAACAACCGTGGAGCCACACCAAGAAAATAAAAGGAAGTCTGCACCTGAAGCATGAACTCAAATCCAGAAACTTGAAATATTGCAACATTCCCATAATTTGAATACAGCCATTGACACTTGAAGAAAATATCTTAATTTTTAAAAAGTTTAAACAGATATGTTCAAATGCTTTCCTAAATCAAGGCTAAAAAGTATAGGTATTCTGATCTAATTGATATTCTGATTTTATGAACTACTGAGACTATTCTCCCAAGCTGTGAGAAAATGATACCTACGATTTTATTTTGACAATGTTTTGCTGGACTATGAGGTTATTAATTCAGCTATTTCAAGTTCAACAGTTACTTTCAAAGTTATAAGAATGTAAGAGACTTTGACTTCTCTTAGATTTGATCCAAATGAACCACAATGAAAACAAATATCTACCCCTGAACCTCTAGATGAGGTTGGGGGAGCGAAGCTCCTCCTACTGTAAGCAAAGCACAGGTTTGTGTCTACTTGGTGAAATTGAATAGGTACAGGTCTGTGGGCCTGATGAGATGCAACCCAAGGTCCTGAGGGAACTGGCTGGTGCTTTTGCCAAGCCACACTGTCATATTTGAAAATTCACAGCAGCCAGACAAGGTTTCCAGTGACTGGAAAAAGGGAAACATTATGCCTATTTTTAAAATGAAGAGAAACTAGAGACAGGAAAATACAGGCCTGTGAGCCTCACCTCTGTGCCCCAGAATATCATGGAGCAGATCCTCATTGAAGAAATGTTAAGGCACGTGCATGGCAAGGAGGAGATCCAAGACAGACAGCATGCCTGACCAATCTAGTGGCCTTCTGTGATGGTGTGCTGGTTCTGGCCAGGACAGGGTCAATTTTCGCAGTAGCCAGGAAGAGGCATGGCTAGGGCCCAGACGTTATTCTATACCACCTCATGGGGGCAGGGGAAAGGAGGGAAGGGAGGGCAGGAAAGGGTGGGTTTGTGTGAATTATTTCTTTTCTTGTACCCTCTGTCATTACCATTGTTATTGTTACCCTGTCTTGGGACAGGTGCTCTTCAGTATCTTTATCAACAACATAAGCACTGGCATCAAGTACACCCTCAACAAGTTTGCTGATGACACCAAGCTGAGTGGTGCAGTAGACACAACAGAACAAGATGCCACCCAGAGGGACCTTGATAGACTTCAGAAGTGGGCCCGAGAGAACCTCATGAAGTTCCACAAGGCCAAGTGCAAGATGCAGCACCTAGAGTGGGGCAATCCCAGACGTGAATACAGACTGAGAGAAAAACTTATTTTGAGCAGCCCTGCAAAGAAGGACTCATGGATGAAAAGCTAGACATGAGCCAACAGTGTGTGCTCACAGCCCAACAGGCCAACGATATCCTGGGCTGCATCAAAAGAGGAGTGGCCATCAGATCGAGGGAAGTGATTCTGCCCCTCTACTCTGTCCTCGTGAGACACCATCTGGAGTAATATGTCCAGTGCTGGGGTCCACAGCAGAGGAAATATGTGAGTCTATTGGAGAGGGTCCAGAGGAGGGTCACAAAGATGATCATCTTTGTGAGGAGGGGGCTGGAGACCCCTCCTATGAAGACAGGCTGAGAGACCTGGGGCTGTTCAGCCTGAAGTAGAGAAAGCTTGGAGGAGACCTTATAGCAGCCTTGCAGCACCTGAAGGAGACTTATAAAAAAGAGAGTGAGTAACCTTTTACAGGCACAGATAGTGACAGGATAAAGGGGAACACTTTTAAATTCTAAAAGAGTAGGGATTTAGATTAGATGTTAGGATGTTGTGGATGCTCAATCCCTGGAATTGTTCAAGGTCAGGCTGGATGGGGCTTTGAGCAACCTGGTCTAGTGTGTGGCATT